GCCACTGCACTCCAGCCTGGGCGACAGAGAGAGACTCCGTCTCAAAAAAAAAAAAAGAGGTGATGGGAAGTTGCTATGCCTCTTGCAAGAGTTGGAGGGCTCTACGCTAGTTTCTAAGCATGACTCTTCTCTGCTGGTGTCCAGAGGACCTGGACCTGGGGCCGTTGTGGACAGGGTGCCATCCTGCTGGTGAACTGTGACAGAGACAATCCTGAATCTTCCGCCATGGACTGCGAGGATGACGAAGTGCTTGACAGCAAAGGTAAAGAGCATTTGCTAGCTAACGGGAAGGGCTTTTTACAAAGCCCTTTTGCCCACGTGGCCTGAACCTGGTGGTGGTCCTCTGAAATAAGGGTTATTGAAAGCATGTTCTTGTTGGCACATCCGTTTTATAGGTGAAGCAATGGGCAAAGGCCCTTGCGGGGGGCAAATGACCTCTCCAAGCTCACACAGTGGTCAGGGAAGAGCTGAGGCCAGTGCTGCCTCCTGATGCCTCCTACGGGCCCCAGTTTCCATGCCTCACCCCGCTGCCCAATCTAAACCCTCTTAGGTCAAACCTGGAGCCTGAAATCATTCGAAAGGAAAGCTTCTCATTCCCAGACTCACATCAGAGCAGCCCCTGAAACCTCTGCCATAGGCCGGGCACCACTCTGAGCACTTTGGAATGATTAACTCATCTGATCTTCCCACACAAAGCTTTATAGATGGGAAAACCAAGGCACTGGGGAACTTAAGCAATTTGCCCAAGGTCACAGCACTGATACGTAGCAGACTCGGGGTTTGAACACCAGACGTCCCAACTCTGGAGCGGGTTTAGGGGCATGAGGATGGTGGGGGATGCAGGACCTCTGCAGGCAAACCTCTGGGCTGCTGAGGGTGGATCTGGGCTTGAAGTGAGGATACATTATCCATTTGCACTAGAGGAAGGTGCTGAGGGGCTCGGGCTGGCAGGCCTTCCTGGGAAGCTCTTAGAATATCATAGAAATGGATGTATTTTCAAGTTGCATATAGTTGGCCTGGCCCGATGCCAGGGGACAGTCTCTGTACAGTACCTGGCGTGCAGTAATAATCACAACAGCTACCCTTTGTGGGCACTCCTGGGGTGCCAGGAGCTGGTATAAGCACTGTGTATCACCTCACTTTATCTTCACAACAGCTCTGTGCTGGGTACAACTCTTGACCCTGTCTTAGTGATGAGGAAACAGGCAGAGAGAGCTGAAATCACTTTCCTATGCCCAGACAGATCCCAGATTCAAACCAAATTGACCCCAAAGCCTTTAAGCCCTTAGCTATCAGTCAGTCCCCTCGGAAGGCATCTCTTGACTCTCCCTACCCTCTACCCCTTCTTGGCTATTGTTCAAGTTGGTTTACAAACTTCACTTCTCGCTCAGGACCAGCACAGAAACCTTTCACTCGTTCATTGCACAAATCTCAGCTGAGTTCCTGCCACGTGCTGGTCCTTGTTCTAGGGAGTTCTCGGCTTTCTAGGTTCAAGATTCAGGGAACATTTCAAGGAACAAAATATTAATAAATGTGGTCCCCACTTTGCTGAGGTTACATCCTCAGCTCATCCTAGTGGGAGGAGACCAAAACCTTAATGAGTTCTCATTCCAAAATGAAAACCATCGTTAAAATATTCAAAATAGCATAAAGAAAAGAAAACCAGGCAACATGGTAAAGGGAGGTCTCAGGGGAGCGGTGGGGTGCGAGACTCCTCCAGGAGGTGGCTATGGGAAACCAGCAGTGGTCTCAGGGGCCTGTGACTCTGGCAATGCCCTTCTCATCCCAGACCTGAAGGACATGTCCCTGATGACCCTGAGCACGAAGACCCCCCAGGACTTCTTCACTAAGCATACTCTGGTGCTCCACGTGGCCAGGTCTGAGATGGACAAAGTGAGGGTGTTTCAGGCCACACGTAAGTCATCCCCATCTGTGTTCCCTCCCTGCCCTGGCCAATGGGGCACAATTCTGTCACACAGCTGTGTGGCAGGTAAATCCTGAGCACCTACTATGTGCCGAGTTCTAAGAACAGCAGACACAGCAGTAGGCAAGACAGACAACATCTCATCTATTACCTTCTAGATGGAGGACACAGACAAAATGACTCGTTATTGCTCCCTGCTTCTCTCTCTCTCTCTCTCTCACACACACACACACACACACACACACACACCACTCCTGGTTATAGACTTTGAGTGCAAGCTGATGGCATGTGGCATGTGATCATTTGTTCTGCAACATCCTGCTAATCAGAGACATCAGGAACTTCTCAGCGGCCCACGAGCACCTGTAACTACGTAGGTGTCAGGCTTGGTCCTAGGCATGAGGCACAGAGCCATGACTGTGACCAAGTCCCTGCCTTCACGTTGCTTTCATCTTAGTGGCTGGGAGAACTATAGGTAAAATAATTACATAAAACACCTAGTGTGTCCAACGCTGTGACATACTATGTAGAAGAATGCGGCAGGGAAGGAGACGTGGAGTGAGGAGTGGAAGTGGGGGTGTGTGGAGAGAGGGTGGCCAGGGAAGGTGTCCCCCATGAGGTGCCATTTGAGCAGAGGGAGGTACAGGAATAGCCAGGCAGACACCTAGGGGAAGGGCGTTCCAGGCAGAGGGAACGGCAAGTGCGTGGACCCTGCCTGAGGTGAGATGGTGCCTGTGGTTTGGAGGAATGCAGGGAGGCCAGTGTAGCTAGGGTGGAATGTGCAAGGGTTAAAGTGGTGGATGAGGGTGGAAGAGACAGGGCAGAGGGGACGGGTGAGGTCAGGTAGGCATATATTGACTTTGGCTTCTGGATGGAAGGAGATGGAGAAGGCCATGGGAGGGGTTTTTCTGCAGGGCCTGACAATCATTCTGATCCTGATCATTCTGCCTAGTCTATTCCATGCTTTTTTTTTTTTTAAATTTTTTTTTTAAGAGAGTCTCACCCTGTTGCCCAGGCTGGAGTGCAGTGGTGCTATCTCGGCTCACTGCAGCCTCCACCTCCTGGGTTCCAGCGATTCTCCTGCCTCAGCTTCCCCAGTAGCTGAGGTTACAAGCATGTGCCACCACATCCAGCTAATTTTTGTATTTTTAGTAGAGACAGGATTTCACCAGGCTGGCCAGACTGGTCTTGAACTCCTGACCTCAAATGATCCACTTGCCTCAGCCTCCCCAAGCACTAGGATTATAGGCACCACACCCAGCCTCTGTTTCTTTTTCTTTTTTCTTTTTTCTTTCTTTCTTTCTTTCTTTTTTTTTGAAACAGAGTCTGTCTCTGTCGCCAGGCTGGAATGCAGTGGTGCCATCTCGCCTCACTGCAATCTCCACCTCCCAGGTTCAAGCCATTCTCCTGCCTCAGCCTCCCGAGTAGCTGGGATTACAGGCTTGCGTCACCACGCCCAGCTAATTTTTGTATTTTTAGTAGAGATAGGGTTTCACCATGTTGGCCAGGCTGGTCTCGATCTCCTGACCTTGTGATCCTCCTGCCTCAGCCTCCCAAAGTACTGGGATTACAGGCATGAACCACCGCACCCGGCCTGTGTCACTCTTAAAGTGATTAAACTGACATTGATTTGCTGACAGGTCGACTTATTGCCTCCACCCAGGCATCACTTTCTCCAGGAAGTCCTCAGGGATTTCCTCTATCACAGCTGTCTGCTATTTTTATGATCTCTGCTCCTCCCTACTCACCCGTAAGAACTGTGCACTCTCTGGGGGTAAGGATAGGAGGACAGTGACTCTGTCTCCCTGGTCCCCTGCTGTGTCCCTGTCCCCCGCTGACATCTGGCTAGAGCAGATGCTCAGCAATTAGTGAAGGAATGGTGTATACTGGACTTCCTGTAAAGTTTGGAATGGCTCAGGCACCCCTGACACACCCTTCCGGGACTTCAGCCAGGGAGCAGTGTCCCAGCTGAGACTTTGGTCCTTTTCTCCTAAGGGGACTGACCAGATTTGGCTGCAAGGGGTTCTCTGATGGTGGCACGTGGTGACCCTGGGAAAGGCTTCTGGGGAGCACTGGGGAGAGGAGGAAAGGTCTTCAGAAGTAGGGAGGCAGACCCGAGTCTCCCCTGCCTCTCTCCTAGGGGGCAGACTGTCCTCCAGGTGCAAGGTAGTCCTGGGTCCCAAGCAGCCCTCTCACTACCTGATGGTCCCAGGCGGAAGGCACAACATGGACTTCTACGTGGAGGCCCTCGCTTTCCCAGACACCAACTTCCCAGGGCTCATTACCCTCACCGTCTCCATGTTGGACACGTCCAAACTGGTAGGCCGAGAAGGCAGCCCTGCATCGGGGGCCTGACCTTCCAGGCAGTGGCGTGGCTGGGGAAGGGGGACTCCAAACAACTACCAGAAGTGGTAGGTGCTGGGCCCTGGTGGCGGTGACAGCCCCTGCCTCCCCACCCCCCACCCCCTGCAGGAGCTCCCCGAGGCTGTGGTGTTCCAAGACAGCGTGGTCTTCCGCGTGGCGCCCTGGATCATGACCCCTAACACCCAGCCCCCACAGGAGGTGTACGTGTGCAGGTGAGAGGCCTGGGAGTGCTGGGGTGGGCCCAGACACCTCGGGAGGAGCCCTGGGCCAGCAACAAAGAGCCCGAGTTCCATCCGCAGCACTCACTGTGTGATGGGAAAACAGTCCCCGCTCCCTGCCCACTGAGAGCTTGCCGCTTCTTGGGGGCTCTAAAAAGGCGGGGAGGTTCCTTACTGTTGTTGTCATTGCCTTAGTCCTGCCTTGATGCAGCTGAGGCTGCATTAGCTCCCAGGGGCATGTAGAGTGTGGCCCGTGGACCTTGTGCACCAGAAACTCCTGGGAACTCATTTAAAGTGCACCTTTCTGGACTGGGCACAGTGGCTCATGCCTGTAACCCCAGCAATTTGGAAGGCCAAGGCAGGTGGATCACTTGAGGTCAGAAGTTTGAGACCAGCCTAGCCAACATAGTGAAACCCTGTCTCTACTAAAAAATACAATTGGTCGGGCGTGGTGGCACATGCCTGTAATCCCAGCTACTCAGGAGGCCAAGGCACGAGAATTGCTTGAACCCTGGAGGCGGAGGTTGCGGTGAGCTGAAATTGCGCCACTGCACTCCAGCCTGGGCAACAGAGCGAGACTCCATCTCAAAAATGAAATAACCAGCCTGGCCAACATGGTGAAACCTCGTCTCTACTAAAAATACAAAAAATTAGCCGGGTGTGGTGGCGGGCGGGTGCCTGTAATCCCAGCTACTCGGGAGGCTGAGGCAGGAGAATCACTTGAACCCAGGAGGCTGACGTTGCAGTGAGCCAAGATCACATCATTGCACTCTAGCCTGGGTAACAGAGCAAGACTCTGTCTTGAGAAAAATAAAGATAATAAAAATAAAAAATTAAATTAAATTAAATTAAAATGAAATAAAATGCACCTTTCTGGCTGCCTGTGAGCTGCTGGGTCTTATCCCTGGGGAAGGGCCAATCTGTGTTTTGGGGAGGTCCAGGCAATCTTCCTGCAGTCTGAGAGCTCCTGACAAGTGTGCTGGGGTCTCAGGAGACCCTCTCCTCCCTCTTCTGATTGCTTCAGGGGCAGAAGAGTAAGAGGGTAACCTGGTGGATAGGACGCAGGCCGGAATCCATTGAGGACTGTATTCCAGTCCCAGCACTGTTCCAGGTGGTGTGACCTTGAACAGTGAACTCATATTCTGTCTTCTCCTGGATTGATATGGTTTGACTCTGTGTCCCCACCCAAATCTCATCTTGAATTGTACTCCCATAATTCCCACATGTTCTGGGAGGGACCTGGTGGGAGATAATTTGAATCATGGAGGTGGTTCCACCCATACTGTTCTCATGGTAGTAAATAAGTCTCATGAGATCTGATGGTTTTCTCAGGGGTTTCTGCTTTTGCATCTTCCTCATTTTCTCTTGCCGCCGCCATGTAAAAAGTGCCTTTCGCCTCCCGCCATGGTGTCTCTAGCCACGTGGGAGTGTAAGTCCAATTAAACCTCTTTTCCTTCCTAGTCTCAGGTATGTTTTTATCAGCAATGTGAAAATGGACTAATACAGTAAATTGCTACCAGTAGAGGGGGGCCTTGCTGAAAAGATACCCAAAATGTGGAAGCAACTTTGGAACTGGGTAACAGACAGAGGTTGGAACAGTTTGGAGGGCTCAGAAGAAGACAGGAAATTGTGGGAAAGTTTGGAACTTTCTAGAGACTTGTTGAATGGCTTTGACAGAAATACTGATAATGATATGAACAATGAAATCCAGACTGAGATGGTCTCAGATGGAGATGAGGAACTTGTTGGGAACTGGAGCAAAGGTGACTCTTGTTTTGTTTTGCAAAGAGACTGGTGGCATTTTGTCCCTGCCCTAGAGATTTGTGAAACTTTGAACTTGAGAGAGATGATTTAGGGTATCTGGCAGAAGAAATTTCTAAGCAGCAAGTCATTCAAGATGTGACTTGGGTGCTGTTAAAGGCATCCAGTTTTAAAAGGGAAGCAGAGCATAAAGGTTCAGAAAAGTTGCAGCCTGACAATGCAATAGAAAAGAAAATCTCATTTTCTGAGGATAAATTCAAGCCAACTGCAGACATTTGTATAAGTAACAAGGAGCTTAATGTTAAGCCCCAAGGCAATGGGGAAAATGTCTCCAGGGCATGTCAGAGGTCTTCACAGCAGCCCGTCCCATCACAGGCCCAGAGGCCTAGGAGAAAATGGTTTTGTGGGCCAGGCCCAGGGTCCACATGCTATGTGCAGCCTAGGGACTTGGTGCTCTGCATCCCAGCTGCTCTAGCCATGACTAAAGGGGCCAACATAGAGCTCAGGCTCTGGCTTCAGAGGGTACAAGCCCCAAGCCTTGGCAGCTTCCACATGGTGTTGAGCCTGCAAGTGCACAGAAGTCAAGAACTGGGGTTTGGGAACCTCTGCCTTGATTTCCGAAGATGTGTGGAAATGCCTGGATGCCCTGGCAGAAGTTTGCTGCAGGGGTGGGGTTCTCATGGAGAACCTCTGCTATGGCAATACAGAAGGGAAATGTTGGGTTGGAGTCCCCACACAGAGTCCTGCTGGGATACCACGTAATGGAGCTGTGAGAAGAGGGCCACTGTCCTCAAGACCCCAGAAGGGTAGATCTACTGACAGCTTGCACCATGTGGCTGAAAAAGTCACAGACACTCAACATTAGCCTGTGAAACCAGCCTCCCAGGAGGGAGGCTATACCCTGTAAAGCCACAGGGGTGGAGCTGTCCAAGACCATGAGAACCCACCTCTTGTGTCAGCATGACCTGGATGTGAGACCTGGAGTCAAAGATCATTTTAGAGCTTTAAAATTTGACTGCCCTGTTGGATTTTGGACTTGCATTGGCCCTGTAATCCCCTTGTTTTGACCAATTTCTCCCATTTGGAATGGCTGTATTTACCCAACACCTGTACCTGCATTGTATCTAGGAAGTAACTAGCTTGCTTTTGATTTTATAGCTCGTAGGAGGAAGAGACTTGCTCTGTCTCAGATGAGACTTTGGATTGTGAACTTTTGGGTTAATGCTGAAATGAGTTAAGACTTTGGGGGACTGTTGGGAAGGCATGATTGGTTTTGAAATGTGAGGACATGATATTTGGAGGGGGCAGGGGCAGGATGATATGGTTTGGCTCTGTGTCCCCACCCAAATCTCATCTTGAAATGTACTCCCATAATTCCCATGTGTTGTGGGAGGGACCCAGTGGGAGATCATTTGAATCACGGAGGCGGTTTCTCCCATACTGTTCTCATGATAGTAAATAAGTCTCATGAGATCTGATGGTTTTATCAGGGGTTTCTGCTTTTGCTTCTTCCTCATTTTCTCTTGCCACCACCATGTAAGAAGTGCCTTTCACTTCCCGCCATGGCCTCCCCAGCCTTGTGGAACTGTAAGTCTAATTAAACCTCTTTTTCTTCCCGGTCTCAGGTATGTCTTTATCAGCAGCGTGAAAATGGACTAATACATGGGTGGAAGGGGTACCCACTAGTTCCTGCCTCATAGCTTGTTAGATGGATTCTATGAGCTCATGCCTGCTAAGAACAGATAGACCGGACATGCCAGGAGCCTCTGTTCAGACCACAGGTGACCCCTGAGCACCTGTGTGTCCCTCCCCATCCTTCCAGGCCGAGCTTCAAAATCCAGAGCACTAAGGAGCTGTTTTTCTGCTCTCTCTAGTATTTTTGAAAATGAGGACTTCCTGAAGTCAGTGACTGCTCTGGCCATGCAAGCCAGGTGTAAGCTGACCATCTGCCCCGAGGAGGAGAACATGGATGACCAGTGGATGCAGGTATGTGCCCTGTGGGGCAGGCAGGGCGAATGTCCCTGAGGGCCAAGAGACACTTGGGGTACCCAGGCTCCTGGGGTTCAGCCTGGTGCCTCACTGGCCACCCTTCCTTAGATGGACAGGGAGGTAGGAACCTGAGAGGTCTTGGGTCGGGAGGCTGGAGCAAGTGATTTGTCTGACGTTTGCTGTGGGCCAGTGCAGGCCACTGCGGTCACCAAGATGAAAGCCACCTTCCTGCTTGAAAACACTAGAGTGGCCTCGGGAAGTGACTTGAAGCTCAGGAGATTGATGCTCAACCAGCAGCCCCTCAAGTGGTCCTCCCTCCAGGCTGTCCATCTTGGGCTTAGCTACCAAACCAGGTCACTGTTAAGCCCCAAGGCAATGGGGAAAATGTCTCCAGGGCATGTCAGAGGTCTTCACGGCAACCCCTCCCGTCACAGGCCCAGAGGCCTAGGAGAAAATGGTTTCATGGGCCAGGCCCAGGGTCCCCATGCTACGTGCAGCCTAGGGACTTGGTGCTCTGCATCCCAGCTGCTCCAGCTGTGGCTAAAAGGGGCCGACGTAGAGCTCAGGCCGTGGCTTCAGAGGAAGCGCTCTAGTACTTTCCATGGCTCCCATCTCCTCCTGCTCAGTCTGTTTCCAGGGCCCTCTCAGCCTGCCTGGCTCCCTCCCCTGAGGCCAGCCTGCCACTGTGCCTGGAAACACCCAATTACCATTCTCTGTTTCCGTGCCACTCCCCCATCATGCCAGGAGTACCCCAAGGACTGAGACTAGGCCTCATCCAGTCCAGCACCCCAATGCCTGGCACTGGGCAGTGCCAGTGGGCATTTGGTGGGCGGCACTGACCCTCCCCAGCACTGCCTTCCTTTGCTTTGGGACCCTGCCCTTCCATGCCGCACCCCTGTGGTGCTGCCTCTTGGACCCACCTCTCCGTTCCCATCACCCATCTCCAATTCATACCCGTGAATCCCAGCGCGAATTCCTCGTCCATAAGTTTCCCCCATCACCCCCAGCAGGAATTCAACCCTCTTTCTTTTCACCCCCACACAACATCCTCTCTTCCTTTCTTGCCACTCCATCTTTTTTTTTTTTTTTTTTTTTTTTTTGAGACGGAGTTTCGCTCTCATTGCCCAGGCTAGAGTGCAATGGCACAATCTCAGCTCACCACAACCTCCGCCTCCCTGGTTCAAGTGATTTTCCTGCCTCAGCCTCCCGAGTAGCTGGGATTACGGGCATGCGCCACCATGCCTGGCTAATTTTGTATTTTAATAGAGATGGCATTTCTCCTTGTTGGTCAGGCTGGTCTCGAACTCCTGACCTCAGGTGACCCACCCACCTCAGCCTCCCAGAGTGCTGGGCTTACAGGCGTGACTTACTGCACCTGGCCGCCATTCCATTTTTTTGATACCAGGTTGACTTGTGTGAAATTGCTGATAGGCGCCATTTTTGATTTGCAAGAGTGGAACTTTCGTCTGGTTCATCCTAATAGTAACTTATAGTAGTGATTATGTCCAACATCGCATCTGCCTGCTAGAATACAAGCCCGCGGAGGTGGAATTTGCAGCAGATTCATTTCTAAAACCTCCCCGTGCTCCTCCTGCCCGCTGCAGTGGCCCAGGCTGGGTCTTATCCGCCTTCCTTTGGGGAGGAGGCCGGGGGCCCTGGCACCAAAAGGCCTTCTCTGGCCCATCCTAGCTGCATCGGGAGCCCCTCCTCCGTGTCCCCACAGACCCCTCAACCCCTCACCCCCTCATCACCTCCTAACCCTGGTGCTCACTGCCTGGCTCCCGGTTTTCTCACCTTGACGAGGGGTCTGAGTTTTGCTCACCAGGGGTCACCAGCACCAGCCCCTGCAGGCACCACCAGGAGTGGGAGGGAAGGGCGCTCCTGCAGGCTCATGGCCTCTCGTGCACTGGGCAAATATGGGGCAATAAGCTCCGCTTTCTGAGCCCCTTCTCTGTGATCAAACATCTCATGGGAATGTGCCCTTGACTGCAAGGGTGAGAGTGCATGGATGGTTTCATGCCCCCATCCTGGCGTTGGGCACCAAGACCCGGGTAGCACGCACAACAGCCTCCTCTCCACTCACTCCCACAGGATGAAATGGAGATCGGCTACATCCAAGCCCCACACAAAACGCTGCCCGTGGTATTTGACTCTCCAAGGAACAGAGGCCTGAAGGAGTTTCCTGTCAAACGCGTGATGGTACCTGCCTGGGGTGGGGAGGGGGCACAGCTGCCGAAACCCTCTTGTCTTGAGACTCCCTCCTTTTAGCCTGGCTTCCCCGCCGGCGTCTGTGGCTGAGTAACCCGGGGCAAGCAGGTGGAATTCCTACCAAAGTGGGCTTGTGTAGGTGGGGCTTGTTATTTTTGTTATTACCAAGATAAGATCTGGCTCTTCATTTCCCAAAGTCCTTGTGGCCTGTGAGCTCAGCTTGGTCTCCAGGGAACCCTGCCGAGGAGGTGGCTCAGGCTTGGACCTCCCTGTGCTCTTAAAGAAGCTCTTGCTGCATGGCGGAGGTGGGGCCAGGGCTGGAATCTTTCCCAACGCCCAGCTGGAGGCTCCGTCTTATGGGTGGTGTTTGGCCTTCAGGGGCTCCATCTGGGATGTGGGGGATTTTGGGATCAGTGTATCAGTGGTCATTTCCTGGGTGTGACTCTACCAGCCAGAGGCTATCCATGTGGGGGCAGGAAGTGACATATTGCTGACTCATGCTTGACTAGCCTGGCAGGTTGATGCAAACTCAGCACAGAATAATAATAATAATAGTTGCATTTATTGAGCATGAGTCGTGTGTTAGCCAGTGCTGCATTCTTTACCTGCACTGACTCATTTAATTTGATAAACTTTTATGGAGATGCTATCAATAGGCCCATTTTATAGAAGAAGAAACTGAGGCTCAGAGTGGAGAAGTTGGAATTCAAACCCGGCCAGTCCGGCTTGGTGAGCATGCTCTTCCCCGCCCTGCCTCCCTCTCCCTGCTTTCCCAGGAAGACTCTAGGCCTGCACTCTGAGCCCTGGCAGCCCCTTGGCTCAAGGTGCCCAGGGAAAACGACGGAAGGAGTGTGGGGTCCAAGGTTTGCTAGGACACATGGCTTTCCGACAAGCATCTGTACTGTGCCCCAAGGGAAGGGAGAGTGGCCCTGCCCACACAGAAGGCTTCAGAATGAAACTTCAGTCAAACTCAATGACTTGCCCCGAGGCTTGCTTCCTCCTGGCCAAGCTGTGTGCCCAGCAGTGGAGATGCAGAGATGCTGTTGGATTCACAGTGTGTACTCAGCCACGGGGTCGAGTCCATCCTGTTTCAGCAGCGTTGGGGCAAGCCAGCCAGCTGCTACCGTAACTTTGCCCTCTTTCCGCTGGTTTCAGTCCTGCCTGGTTCAGTGGCTGTGTCTCCTATTTTGATGCTCCAAGTATAACAAAGGTCAGATTTTCTGATGCCATGAGTCCTGCTGGACAGACAGACGGACACCTCGGCACCGTTGTCATCCCCTTTCCCACAGACAACTTTAGATGAAGGCAGGCGGCACTGGTCCCTCAGCTAAGCACATCTGCATATTCTGACTCAGATCACTCAGAATGAGGCCAGGCACGGTGGCTCACACCTGTAATCCCAGCACTTTGGGAGGCCAAGGAGGGCAGATCACCTGAGGTCAGAAGTTCAAGACCAGCCTGGCCAACATGGCGAAATCCCATCTCTAAAAATCTCTACAAATACAAAAATTAGCTGGGCATGGTGGCGTGTGCCTGTAATCCCATCTACTCAAGAGACTGAGGCAGGAGAATCCCTTGAACCCAGGAGGCAGAGGTTGCAGTGAGCCGAGATTGCACCATTGCACTCTAGCCTGGGTGACAGAGCAAGACTGTGTCTAAAGAAAAAACAAAAACAAAAACAAAAAAACCACCCAAATCACTCAGAATGAAAAGAATTGGAGGAAAAGTCACACTCGGCACCAGGCTTTGGCCCCACCTGCCTCTCCAGCACCATTGTGGGCCACTCTCGCTGTCCCTTACCCAGTCCCACCTCCCTTGGCCTCCATCCTATTCTTCAAACTTGCCGAACGTTTCCCCACCTCATGGTCTTTGCATATGCCATTCCCTCTGCCTGCAACGCTGTTCTCTGTCCACGGGGCTGGCTGCTTCTCAGTCTTCAGGTTTCAGCTTCGATTCCCTACTCAGTGAGGCCTTCCCTGATGCTGAAGGAGGGATCCCTACTCCCACCCCAACCCCTAGCCTTCTCCACTACAGCCCCCTGTTGACTTCTTCAGTGTATTTTGTTAAAATCATGGACTCCATCTATTTTTTATTGCCCACGCTGCTGGGCCTGAGGCTGTTATGCCTTACGCTGTCCATCGGGCAGCTGGCACGAAGCTTCACACAGTGGTGGTTCTTCCCGTAAGCATCGTCAGTCAATTTTCTATCACCGCCGTCAATGGGAAATCAGCAGCACTTCCTACAGATAGAAGGCAACTGTGAAGTTAAACAAACTGAAACAAGATCCTGCTACCAAAGCCAGCTCGTTACAAGTGACTGCAGCATCTCTGAGCTGGTTGTTAAAATGAGAGATTAGCAGGTGTCAGGGTTGTGTTTGCATCACTGAAACTTGAATTTTTGAGGAAGCCAGAAAAGACTGAAGGAAAACGAGAAGGGCAACAGCTTTCCAACGTTGTGTGTGCCTCAGGCTGCATCCCCTGGCACCCGTGAGCATCCCCCGCACAGCCCACTCTTGGGGGGCCACTTCTGCAGACTCTGGACACCCCTTCTTTTGCCTGCAGTAATCCAAGCCTGAAGGCTGTATAACTTAGCCCCTCTCACAGCAGCAGCCGGGGCAGTGATGTGGATGAATTTACATTCCTTCATCACTGTTCGAACACATACTCAGCCAGGACTTGTTCTGGGCACTTGGGATATGACAGGGAGCAACGCCAAGGTCCCTGACCTCACGGAGGGGACATTCTGGCCCGAGAGACAGACAGCAGACAATGAATGGAACAAAGCAGTTATACAGTTCCTTAGAAGGTGACGTCAAGAGCTGCAGGTGCCGGGTGTGGTGGCTTATGCCTGTAATCCTACCACTTTGGAAGGCCAAGGTGTGAGAATTGTATGAGCCCAGGAGTTTGAAACCAGACTGGGCAACATAAGGAGACCTTGTCCCTACCAAAAAAAAAAAAAAAAAAATTGTTTTAATTAGCTAGGCATGGTAACGCATGCCTGTAGTCCCAAGTACTAGAGAGGCTGAGGCGGGAGGATCGCTTGAGCCCAGGAGGTCAAGGCTGCAGTGAGTCATGATTGCACCACTGCACTCCAGTCTGGGTGACAGATGAGACCTTGTCTCAGAGGAAAAAAAAAAAGAGCTGCAGGAAAAGACAGAGTAGAGCGGAATGGAGGGGCTCACAGGTGCCAGTGTGGTAGGGAAGGTGGATTAGGTTACATTCTTAAAGCTGAGTCTGGTGGCTCATTCCAGTAATCCCAGCACTTTGGGGGGCCAAGGCTGGTGGATTACTTGAACCTAGGAGTTTGAGACCAGCCTAGGTACCATAGTGAAACCCTGTCTCTACAAAAAAAAATTTTTTTAATAAAAATATGGTGGTACATGCCTATAGTTCCAGCTACTTAGGAGGCTGAGGTGGGAGGATCCTTGAACCCTGAAGGGTGAGGCTGCAGTGAGCCATGATCACATTACTGCATTCCAGCGTGGGCAATAGGAGTGAGACCTGGTATCAAAAAAAAAAAAAAAAAAAAAAATTGCATTCTTAAATAGGATGGTCAGGGTGAGCTTCACAGAGAAGCTGACCTTATAGCAAACGCTTGAGGGAGGTGAGCGAACTGGCCATGTGAA